CGAGAGGGGCCCAGTCAGGCGGGCAGGTAGCCGCGAGAGGGGCCCAGTCAGGCGGGCAGGTAGCCGTGAGAGGGGTCCCATCAGGAGGGCAGGTAGCCGGGAGAGGGAAGCAGGAAGATCTGAAACAGGCAATATAGATAAACCCATTCACCTAGGAGATGACCCTGACAAATTGCCTCCATACCATCGAGATGAGACACTCAGGGGTTCTTGGGGTCATGAAGAAGATAGAATGCAGGAGGAATTTCCTTTAGATAGTCAAGATGACCCTTCTTTGGAGCATGAGCGATTGGACGACTGGGAAAGAGAACGGTACTGGAGAGACCACAATTCTGATTATCAAGATGATTCTGTAGATGCATATGACAGAGATGACAGGCTGCAGTCCCACCATTCATTGCCTCCATTATCTCCCCTACCACCACTACCTCCTTTATCATCTGATCATGACAGACGAGATTCATGGTGGGATGACTGGAAAAGGCCAAGAGAAAGGGAACTAGAGAGAGATCTAGATAGGACTGGAAGATCCTCAGACATTTATGATCAAGATTTAGACAGAGAATGGGATAGAGACTGGGACATGAGACCTATGGATGACAGAGAAATGGGGAATCGTGACCTGGATATCCCCCCTCTACCACCATTACCACCTCTTCCACCTCTGGACAGATACCGTGAAGATAGGTGGAGGGAGGATAGGAACAGAGATCATTATGACAGAGACCTCCGAGACAGGGGAGAGCTGAGGATTCGAGAGTATCCAGAGAGATACGACACATGGCGGGAGAAGCAAGACTACCTTCCTGAAAGGACCGATTGGGAGAGGGAACGGTTGTCGGATAGGTGGTATCCAGATGATGGAGACAGAATGCGGTCTTTGGATGATCATTCAGATTCATCCCTTCCTCCACCTTCACATTCCTCTGATATGCTGGGAGCAGATTCAAACCTGGACTCTGACCAGTCCTTGGGAGGAGTGATGGTCCTTAGCCAAAGACAGCATGAGATAATTCTGAAGGCTGCCCAGGAGCTCAAAATGCTTCGGTGAGTTGCCTGGTTCTGTCACTCTGGGTGGGAATCTCATTCTGTGGAGATGGTGCTCCTTTCCTAATTCATTCCTTGATTTACACAGTAATGGCTTCATTTCTTTGTACCACAGCATGATAGTAGGAGCTCATGTGGAACAAGTTATTTGGAGTACCTCCATCACAGCTTTTGTGGATGGACTTTTTTCCTTAAATAGGTGGTTGTCCCTTTCCCCATGAATATGGCATTCCCTGTTCGTTACTTTCCAGGAAGAGATCTGTCCACATCACCTGACCAATCTTTTTGTTATTCTCAAATGAGCTTGTTGATAATTGCTTTTCAATCTTTTTATTAGTGTAAGGTGAGCTCGTTGATAATGGCTTTTTAATACTTACCTGTCAAGATCTACATTAATGTGGTTCTTAATTCACACAATGGGGCCTATTTAGTTCTTGGATACTGCTTACTTTTTAATTAAAGCGTATGTGAGGTTTTTCTTTTTACAATGCTCCCTCATTTGAAATCCAGCATCGTCAGTGAATAATTTTGTCAAGTTTGGTTGATCTTAATTCTGAGGATCAGCATAACAACAGTGATAACAATCAGGAGGATATGAATGCAAGAGTTCACCAAGACCACGTTTTAGAAAGCAGCTACTAGACTCCCTAAGGCTTTAATAGCTGTTTATTTCAAAATAAGTAACAGAATATCCTCTTAAACATCAGAAACATCCTAGGGCTTAGTAAATTTAGTAATATTAGAACGAATGGAGCACATACCATCTATCCAAATGCTATCTTTGTGATTTGGTGCATGGGTTTAGGTGCATTAAATGCATTAAAAAAAAAAAAAGGAAAGATGAGTTTCTTTGACTTTTCAGTGAATGAGATCTTTCAGAGCAGATTGTAGAGGAAAGAGGAAGCATCTTAGAGACAGAGGTTCACGTGGTTCATCCTATTCATGAATTACTGAGGATAGCTAAGGATTGGTGCCTAGTAAAGACGGGGTTTAATTTCATAAACAAGATATTATGCTAAAATAATGGGCAATTAAAATGAATGTTTGGTTATCATTATTACATTTACATTAAACCATGTTGAAAGATACAGAGACGTTTTGCACTTTTCTTGAAGCCATTTTGTTTTCAGACTCATAAGATTGCTAAGCATCTGTCCCATATGGAAGGCCTTAGTTCCATGCCAAAATGCAAGAAAAATAATTTTTAAAAAGGAGGGGAGAACTTTTACTCTGAATAATTTAATCTTTCACTGCAATTAGATTAATTCATCAGGTGTTAGTAACTGTGAAATCTGTGCGATAAAGCAATATTTGCCAAAAGTTTGGAGCAACAGATCATTTTCAGCTTCCTGGCTTTCCCATTGCCTCAGGTTGCCAGGGATATGTTTTGCTGTTTAATGTGACTAGATGCAAGCCAGTGGACTTAATCTAAGGACCATAGTTTGGGAATCACTGCCTAAGTGAATAATTTACTAGGGCTGAAATATCTAAACACAGAAACTAAAACTTTTTATGTAAGAAAGTAGATACATATACCTCTTTCTAAGCCAGTAAAAAGGGGAAATATAAAGATGACAGTATGATACTGATTTTTAACTTAATATGGGGATAATCTTAAAAATTAGTTACACTGGTACTTCTCATCAGGTTCTTACACACAGGTGACCCTGGTCTGAACAGTAGGAACAACTTTAAAGAGACTGCTTATGATATTTTTGCTGAGCCAAGAGTATAGTGTGGTGCATAACTGCTTTCATCTCCAAAGGTAAAGCCTTCATCTGGCTTTGCTTTTATTGTGTATAAAACGGCATACTCTGAGCTGCATGCTGTTCTGTATTTGTCATCTGGTGTATTTTTCCTAAGCCAGGTGTAAAGAAAACCTTCTAAGTGCTAGCAGTTGCTCAGTTTACTCTTTGTACTAATGCAGCACTTTGGATCCCTTTCTGTGAGCCAAGTTCTCCTTGCGCTGGACACTGAACAGATGGGTTGCTAGTCAAGATGGCCTCTGTTGTGCCTAGTACAGAGGGATCCCATTCTTAGTCGTCCTTTGGGCACACTTTAATACATGCAATTAATATGAACAAAGAGTTATTAGCAATAAAAAACTAGATAAAAAGATGCAAACAAAAACTGGAAGGAAATTGTATTGAATAGATAGATCTTTGTAATCCAATGGTTGTAGTATTCACTACTGGTCCTGGTCTCTGCTCCATAGACAGGGTAGCATTTTGATACATAAAACAAGGAGACAAAAGCTAACATCACAGCTTTGTTTTTAAATATTGGAGTGTCTGTTGTGCTTTGTGTTGGCCTCAATCCTGTTAGTGTGCAACCCAGAGCAAGTCACTGAGAGCATTTAGGCATGCATCTCCACTGGGCTTCTGGTTTGCAGAAGGTGTTGTCAGAAGCTAAAATCTAGCTTTGCTCTTTACTGTCAAAGCAGAGTGGTTCTGGCCAAGCACAAAAGCATAACGGCATGGTGCAGAGGAAATCTGTGATCAAAAAAGGAGGCAGCTAATATATTAAATACCTCCATAGTTAGGTGAATGTGAAACAGGGATTTCTGAATCGTAGCGTTGACCTTGTAAAGCCTGCTGTATCCTTTTCTTCTTTGGACTAGGCCCCTAATGCTAGTGTAATACGTGGTTTTCACTGTGAGCATTGATTTCTTTAATTTTTCATTTAAGCTACAGGCTGATAACTCTTTCTTGTGTTTCATGTGCAGAGAGCAAAAAGAACAGCTACAGAAGTTGAAAGAGTTTAAACCTGACATTTCCACACAAGATTCTCCTAGATCACAGAACACAAGCACAAGGCCAGGTGCCTTTCAGGTAAATTAATCTTGTGTTAACTTAATAACATGCTGGTAGTAATTACTATTAATGCGTATGTCAGATCAGTTCTGCACTCTGATGGTCAAACTTTTCTGTGGAATGCCTCCCCAGCAGCCCTCACAACCTCATCAATCTTCTGTTGAGGCAAAGCAACTTCGTAGTTTCTTTAGATTTTCCAAAGCCTTTCTTATTCATTCAGTCCACTTTGTCTTCTGAGCATGACCCATTGGGGACAGTAGCGCTTGAGGCTCAACAGCCTAGACTGCTGTGAGATGATGTGCAAGAAACGGTGAGCTCTTCCAAAACAGGGGCCTAAGGCTCATGAGAAGACCCTCCTGTTCCCTGCCTAACTCAGTTCTGATACTGTCTTTAATTCCGATCTTGCTCTGCTTTTTCTACTTTAAGAGCTCTTTCCTCTTTGAAGAGTTTAAAGAGAGAAATTTGAGGATTGGTCCATCAAAAACTGAGATATTTCAACGCAGAGTGGGCGATAGCTTTCTGTTTGCTGTCTTTATTAGGAATTGTCATTACCCTCTGGAATATCATAAAGTGCATGGAAGCTCACATTTGTGTACTTCCATGACTTCATCTCCTGTTGTGATGCAAGTTATTCCTCTGCTGCTTAATCTCTTGATTGGTTCTCAGCTGCTTATATTTGTTTTTTTGATAATTCATACCCAGTCAGAAACCAACTGAACTTCTGCAGTCATGTTAACTCAGGTCTATAAATCCTTCCTAGAACGAATAAACAATTTTGTTAAAGGTATGTTGGAGGAGATACCTGAGTCAATGCACAGTCTTTATTCTTCATCAGATCTTAACCCCAAAGTTACTGGTACTAATAAATTTAGCCGTACTGACCTCTGAGTCTGACATTTAGCCAGACCAAGCTTTGCTTGTCCCTCCCTCCAGAGAAGTCTTATGCGGTGAATGAGGTACTGCATCTTTTTGCCTAGTTGACCTGTTCCTTGTTTACAGTGTCTATAAAGTAAAATAATGGAACAGATTTGCTACCAAGAACTGCAGATATGTTGATGCCTTTAGGAAGTGACTTTACTCAACTTTGTTATTTTGTATCTCAGACTACTTCACCTATCTGCCTAAAGGTATCCAAACAACTGTTGTCTTTCTTGGGATTTCTGCCTTCAGGCTTCTGCTGTGACTTTGAACTGTTATGACAAAGTTCAGCTTTGTATCAACAACCATTCTGCAAGTTTTGTTGCACGTTGCTAATAAGGTTGCCTGTAACTTGGCATCTGCTGTGATGCTGAAAAGACTCTTGTGACACAGCACGTGGGGTTCCGTGGGCATGTTTGGTTCATGAAGGGGTTTTGTTTTGTTGGGTTTTTTTGACTGGGCAAGACCTCCCCATTTCTTATGTTCATCTGATGTTGATTTCATTAAGGGGTTTCCAGGTGATTCTGCTCTCTGGGAATTTTTCCCATGACTTCCAGAAAGAAGCTGACCTTATCAGTCCTTTCGTGCATCACCAAGCTGCCCTACTTTCAGCCTCTTTCAG